TGCAATAAACATCTTAAAGTATCAGAAACATAAATTCCCAGCGGGCTGGGAATAGAATTTAACTATAGAATCACAACAACACCCTTCACATCAAACTACATGCTGTACTGGCCAAAAACGTAGCACAGTGAGAACAGATTCAGCTATGCAGTGATTACTCGTTAAACAGGAAGACACCAACAGCTCAACTTCCGGTGCTCTCAAAATAAGACTTTATCAAATATTATACATAATAAAGCTTATAGTATATAACTTAGAAACAATACGCAAATATGAGCAATGGCTTCCTAAGGAGCCAGAAAATTTTATTTAAACTTTTTTTGACACAATTTAAGACCTGCTTTTGAGGCTTTCAGGGAGTCTCATGGGTTAATCGGGGGGGTCGAGCCCCCCCGGACCCCCCTGTATTTCGCACTCTGGGTTTAACCCTACTACTCAGCAGCCAGTGGGAAAAAAGCACACTCACCAGCTCTAACTGGACAAGTGGCCAAATGGCTGATAATCACATGAAATCAATGCGTAGATGACGCGTATTTGATGTGCTCTCACAAGTTAACTACGTGTGGCCGATTAAAAGGCGAAGGTATGGCTTGCCATACCAGCGCGCCTCTCTCTAGCGCGCTTGAGGCAACCAGTCTCCAGATCCCTCCCTCTGCCGCTCCCTCACCCATTCTGTCCGGCTCCCTCCTTGTCCGGCTTCTCTGCCCAGCTTCCCATGGCCGGCTTCTGCTCCTTCAACCAACCAGCTGCCTTTTTATCATCAGCGTCCGCTCTACATGCTGTTTGGCTGATTGAACACACCTGTGCTGCTGTCGTGGGCGTGTCCAGATATGATTGGTAACGTGACCTCCAAACAAAATCAGAAAAACATGTAACACAACCACAAAAAAAAAATCTAACAAGAAAGTAAATAATTCAAGGTAAAGTAAATCCAAATTAGAGAAATAAAACATGCAGTTAACTTCAAAAAAAGGAGAAAAAAAGGCCATATTGAGGCGGACCAGTAGGGGGCTCCACTCTCACTCAGTGGAGAGGTTGTAGTTATGTTTGTTCGGATGTGTATATATATGGGCTTTCTGTACAGTTGCTCTCAGTTGGAGTAGAGTAAAGAACTGTTTAAACCTGCCTGCTTTGTGTCGTCATCTTCACCCCTCCACATTGGTGACCCCTGTGAGCCAACATGTCCTCCACCCACCAGGCGAGCAAAGACCCTGCTTCGCAACCCTCTGGCGGACGGAAAGTACAGCACCCTCAAGCACCTGCTTCTCCGCCGTTACTCCGACTCAGAATGCGCCGAGAAGTTGCTTTCTCTGGGTAAGGGGATGGCTCGGCTTTGGAGCTGATGGAAAGCATGCTGTCCTTGTTGGGTGACGACGACGGCGGATTTCTTTTCATCCATCTGCTCCTGCGACAGCTTCCAGCTCCGGTATGGATCGCTCTGGCTAACTCTTCCCTGCTGCGGGAGAAGGATTACCACTCGCTGGCGGAAGAAGTTGATCTCATCCTCCTGGCTTCCAAGACCTTCACGGTCCAGTCGTAAACCAGGGAAACTACAGCAGCTTCTTCTGAGCCTTTGCCCGCTTCAGCGGTCGATCAGCCGTCGGTGATGGCAGCGATCGCCACCAGGAAACGTTTTTACCATCAGCGCTTCAGCGCAAGGGGGCTGCGCTGCCTCCCACCCTGCAAGCCGACGCCTGCTAGCAGCCGCGGCCATCGGCGATAAGAAGACGCTGCTCTTTGTTGAGGATTTGCGATCGGGGAGACGTTTTCTGGTGGATTTGGGTTCGCAGAAGAGCCTCGTTACCCCGGCGGGCTCCGACAGGCTTGCTGAGGGCTGCGGTCCCCAGCTGACCGCCGCTAATGGTTCTCCAATCAAAACATTCGGAGAAAGGTTGGTGACTGTCTCTTTCAATGGGCGTGACTTCCAATGGAACTTTGTAGTAGCTGCGAGCTCTGTCCCCATCATAGGGGCTGACTTCCTCTGTGCTCACGGCCTGCTAGTCTAATTGATGCTGTTTCTTTTTCCTCACTGCCTTGTATAACGCGAGGAGCTGGGCTGTTGGTACATACAAATTTTTTTAGCTTCAGAGGACGCTTTCCACCGTTTATTGTCAGATTTTCCTTCTCTGACTCTGCCCAATTTTTCAAACACCGACACAAAACACGGGATAGAGCATTATATCACCACGACTGGCGCTCCAGTGTTTGCGCGTGCGCGCTATCTTGACGCGGCAAAGCTGGCTGTTGCGCAGGAGGAGTTTGCCAACATGGAGCGTTTAGGGATTGTGCGGCGCTCCGACAGCCCCTGGGCGTCACCGTTGCGTGTGGTACCTAAGTCGGACGGCCAGTGGCGGTGGATTTCTGTCGTCTACACATTGCACACATTAGTCTAGTCACCGCTGTGATGCAATATACTCAAAACAAATATAGCTTCACTTAACATGGACTTAGATCTGTGATTAACCACAGAAACACATTTTCTAACCAAATAATTTGCGGTTGTTGGCTGGAGTTTGTCATCCTGTGTTTATCATAGCTGAAACCTAAAACATTTTTTTTTCTTAGAAATCATGGAGACTTCAGAAAGAACAAAAAGGAGGAAAATATTGGCAAAATTGAAGGAACATTTGCTTGTGCTCGAAAAGGAGTCTATGGCTTTGTTGGCAGATAATTCTGAGAAAATGGATTCCATGGACACTTCTGATGCTTGCGAGGACAATTTATCAAGTAATCATTCAGAAAGAACACAAAGGCAAGTATTGGCAAAAGTGGAGGAGCATTTTCTTATGCTCGAAAAGCAGCCGACTGATTTATTGGCAGTTAATTCTGAGAACATAGATTCCATGGACACTTTCTATGATGCTTGCGATGACAATTTATCAAGTAATCATGAAGACGGAAATTCCACTAATGTTTTTTATGACTGTAACATTCAATCATTAGATCATATTAATGAAAATTGGGATTCATATGATATGCCAGATAGTGACTGTGATTTCCTTGGAGATGAATATGCCGACATGGTAGATGACGATGATGTTTCAGATGGGCTTGCAGAGTGGGCCACAGAATTCAACATTTCACAAACAGTGCTGTCTGCACTTTTGAAAATCTTGAGCAGAAAGGGCCTTGATGTCCCAATGGATGCCAGAACTCTTATGTCCACTGACAGGTCATGCAAAGTGACAAATTTGGCTGGGGGATCCTACTATCACTTTGGGATTGAAAATGCTCTCATATCTGAACTAAAATCTTTAGAGCATTTTAAAGCGACTGATACACTCACACTTCGGATTAATATCGATGGAATACCCTTATTCCGCAGCTTTAGTGTGAGTCTGTGGGCTATTCTGGGTAGAATTAAGGAAATTCCAGAGTGTAGTGTGTTTGTAATTGGAGTGTACTCAGGTGCATAAAAAACCCCACAAGAATGCAAGAGTATTTACAAGAGTTCATAGAAGATTTGAAAACTATTTCTCAGAGGGGTATTCTTTACGGTGGTGCACATTTCATGATAGGAGTACCCGATGCTTTTATTTGTGATGCACCCGCTCGCGCCTTTCTTAAATGCTCCAAAGGCCATACAGGCTATTATGGATGTGAGAGATGCACTCAAAAAGGCCAGTACAAGGATGGAAGGGTGTTTTTTCCTTAGGTATCAGCAGAGCTCAGGACAGATGAGCAATTTAGCAGGCAGGCCTATCAAGAGCATCAACTGTCAGTGTCCCCCTAGGTATAGGTTTAGTTACCAGTTTTGTGTTGGATTACATGCACCTTGTGTGTTTGGGGGCAATGCATAGGCTCATATTTCTTTGGTTGAAGGGGCCGCTAAAATGCAGGCAATCTGTGAAATATTTCGTTGTTATGTCAGCTAATCTGGTTTCTCTTAGGCAATATTTACCGAGCAATTTCGCAAGGAAACCACGATCCTTGTTTGAATTCAGCACATGGAAAGCTACAGAGCTTCGTCAATTTTTGCTGTACACTGGGCCTATTGTCCTTCTCAATAATATACCTTGTAGAATGTACAGAAACTTTTTACTTCTATTTGTGTCTATGAGAATTTTTCTTTGTCCTGGGTTATGTTCTCCTGACAGTTGTGACTATGTAGAGGAGCTTTTGAAGCTCTTTGTAACAGATTTTGCTTCAATTTATGGCTCTGAATTTGTCAGCTATAACATCCATTCATTGATCCACCTAGCTCAGGATGCATGTAATTTCGGCCCCTTGGATGGTGTTTCAGCTTTTCCCTTTGAGACATTTGTTAAGGAAGAAATTATTCTAAAATAGTTAACTTTGGAAAAAGGTTGGCTTTCTCTCTTCCTTCTTTTCCCAAGCCTCTCGGTGAGCTGCGTGTGGCCACAAGGAAAACCAGCATTGCGTGTTGACGTCACAGAATTACAGAGTTTAATCCAATATAAGACAATGCATAAACTTAGAAATAAGACAATGCACAAACCTACACCAGAAACTGCAGAACAACGGAGACATACATTCAATTACCTGACATAAATGGAGAGAAGGAAAGAAAGCAAAGACGTACAAAGACATCTTTGGAGAGTTGCAAGAGCAAATCTGATTTTTTATTTCTGTGTAGAAAGTTTTAACCTCTTGTATTTAATTTATTCAAATAAGGCTGGCTTTTGCTCCTCCAACCAGGAGCTATCTCTGACACTCAGAAAAACTTAGAGCTTCCCCTAATTTATGGCAAACATCTGGCTAAAGAAAACATGAAATAAGACCTCACAGAATAGCTGTTGGAATGCGGGGGCCTCTTCCTACCATAAATTCTCCGGAACAAACTTAAATTCAGTAATCTGGTTCAAGGAAAGGTTATTTTCACAAACTTGTTCAAAATTAAGAAATATGTTCAAAATGAGAGTGCTCAACATACCTTTTACACATGCCATAAGATTAACTGTATTAAAAACTAAAAATAATCATTTTTCTTTAACAGTAAACTGAAAAAACTTGTTCGTCGACCACAAAACCCTGTCCACCAACTCGTCAGGCGCATCCATGAGAAGCAGAAAGTGGCAAGCAAAAAGTCCACACCAGTGTTTACGCCACTGAAACAGCTACACTTTTCTGGACCAATGATTAATTCAGTTGGTACTTGGGAACAGTATAGATCGTACAATGATGGACAGACACTGATCTCCTGTTCTCGTGGCAACAACAGTTTTTTTGTTGGGGGAACTGTTGTTGTTGTGCAAAACATATTCTCACATTCCGGAACCATTAAAGTACTGTGTAACTCCTTTGAAAATGCCCAACCGTTTTTCACCTATCCGATGGACTCCTCAGTTGTTGGAATTCTTTTTGTCTTCAATTTATCTGAACACTTGCAGCTACTACCTGTGGAGGACTTAAAAACAAAAATGTTTCTGTTACCACACAAGACTGGATATTTGGCATTGCCACTTTTGCACTAGTGTGCAACCTATTTGTTTTTGTTTTTAATTTGTTGTTATGCATGTATGAATTTCTATTGATGTGTATTTTTTTAAGTATATTGCCTTTTGCAATTGTTGATTTTGAAAATGGTGGAGGATTGGCAGTGATCCCGACCAAATGGTTTATCGGGCCTGAGGAGGATGAATGCTACTGGCCACCAGCAAGAGTTAACATTGCCAAGGCGGTCATAGACCAACAGGACCCACACTCTGACTGGGCAACCTTCAAGTTGACTGTCAAGAGAAAAGCAGGTAGTGTAACCATCTTTCTTAATTAATGTATGATATGATGCGACAAGATAGGCTCACCATTCATTTGGTTAGAATTTGTTCTCCGAAATAAAAGTAATTAACTCATTCTTTTGTATCTCTCGGACAGCCACATACGAGATAGCCCGTATAAAATTGGTTGAGTTTGAACAGAACACATACGACCCGACAGAGTCTGATTCTGCGGAGAACATGGGAAGGGGGAAGCGCAAAAATAGGTAAGGCTGTTTGGATTATTATGTATGCATATTGGTGTCATCTCCCACACACACACAGTAACAGTCTATGGAAACACTGTCTGCATTATATGATTATATGCTCAACTGTCACCTGTTGTACAAAATATATTGTTTTTGTATTGTGTACCCTACTATTTTTAAAACACTTCAATTCAATTCACTGTAACTAATGAATTATCTGATTGTGCTGGTCTATTTTACAGGTCTAGGAGAGTGATTCTGTCCAGCGAGGATGAAGATGATAGCCCTACACCTCCATTACCTCCATCCTCCCTCAGGTCTGTACTAACACCTCCATTACCTCCATCCTCCCTTAGGTCTATACTGACACCTCCTCTGCCTCCATCCTCCCTCAGGTCTGCGCTGACACCACCTCTGCCTCCATCCTCCCTCAGGTCTGTGCTGACGCCTCCTCTGCCTCCATCCACCCACACGCCTACACCTTCACTACCTCCATTCACCCACAGGTATGTACTGACACCTCCATTACCTCCATCCTCCCTCAGGTCTGTACTGACACCTCCATTACCTCCATCCTCCCTAAGGTCTGTACTGACACCTCCTCTGCCTCTATCCTCCCTCAGGTCTGTGCTGACGCCTCCTCTGCCTTCATCCACCAACACGCCTACACCTCCACTACCTCCATTCACCCACAGGTATGTACTGACACCTCCATTACCTCCATCCATCCTCAGGTCTGTACTGACACCTCCTCTGCCTCCATTAGGTCTGTGCTGATGCCTCCATTGCCGTCTTCCACCCAGAGGCCTACACCTCCTCTGCTTCCTGCCACCCAGAGTTCCACCCTGACACCTCCTCTGCCTCCAGCCCCCCTCAGGTCTGCCCAGACACCTACTGCCTCCATCCATCCTCACATCCCATCTTGACAAACAGTGATGCGAGCGAGAGAAACTGATTAGAATGTGTACTTTTCAATCGGCCTCTTTAATTGTCTGATTGAGGTGTCTGTGCTGACATCTCCTTTGCCTCTATCCAACTGGTCTACAATGACACTTTTTTGCTTGTACTCTTCCTTAGGTCAGCCATGTCAACACACGAATCCCTGCAAATGCAAATAAGGGACAACGTCCTTTTTCACATCCTGAAAGTCCTTGAGGAAGTCAAAGAAACCCTAAGAGTTCATGGAAGGATGCTACAAACCATGGCACAGCGTGGCAACAGTGGTGACACCCTTTCTATCATCCCAGATGGTTTCCCCCTAAAGACAGTTGGGGAGGTCGAGGTAATGGAGGAAAAACTGTCTGAACCAAGCTTCATGTCTGAACTGGTATGTATGTAAAGTCTATAGTGAAATTTCATTCAGTTTTATTGGGGGGGCTGGCTGAAACAAATCATCAATAAATTGGACAGTAGTCAATAATTCAATTAATTGGCACTTATAGCTTTCTTAAAGCCAAAAAGTCCTAATTCTATGATTTCAGCTTCCTAAATAAGAATATTTCGGTCCTCTTTGTTGGCCATAAACCGAGTATCTCTTTGTTTTGTGGACAGAACAAGAGATTTGAGAAGCACCAATGTATTTCAAAATGTTTTAACATTTTATTATTATAGCAACAAATTGAGTAAATTGTTAAAATACTAAAACAATTATACATTAATCTATTTCCTGACAGTTTACTGTCAATAAAAGCGAGCCATAAGAAGCTGCAAAAAAAAAAATAAAAAATGATTTTACTTTGTACTGACTTTGTTCCCCCTTAGGTCACAGCAGTGGCAGACATTGGAGGGAGCACTGTGGATGACGCCACAAGATGTATGATGGTCTTTATCATGGACCATGACCTTTCCAGACAGTATAACTTTGTGGGCCGGAATGGAAAGCGGGAGTTCAGGACTTTAAAGCTGTTTGAAGTCATATTTGGTAAGTGCATAATGGATTATACGTAACTGTAATATAGTAACTTTTGTCAATAAGGAGGAATACAAATTTATTGGCTATGGTTATTACTGTATGACTTGAAATGGCATTATTTTTGGCTAGAAAGCTTAATTTAATGTAATTGGGATTTTCTAAGGTGCAATAATACGCTCACCTCAAGGACATAATAAATGTCCCCTTAAAAGAGGTGCTCCAGAAATGTTATCGGAAAAGTAAATGTTTTCAAGATTTTCTTGCACAGATCTTCCAGTTATATGTTCTTATGAAAAAATGTTAATTGTGTTTTTATTATCACTTGGTTTGTAATTGTTATTGTGTTATTTATTAAAGCCAGATATTACAAAAAAATGTGACAGCCATGGCCAGATGGCATTGAATTTTGATCTTTGTTTTTTCTTTGCTTTTCCCCAGTTCATTCTGACATTTGCAGGTTTGTAAAGTCAATAATGTAAAGGGATACTTAAACCAAAATTACAATTTAAACCTTGAGTGATTGATATAAAAGTGATCAGTTTTGGGTGAATATCACTTCAACATAGTTGACTTTACAATCCTTGCTGAGAGTTGTGTTGGCACATGAGGTAACCATAACATATAGTTCCTGCAGGAGCTTTAAAGAAGAATGCCTTAACCAGCCAGATCACCAGGAAGGATGTGGAGAGGGCAGTTTCCAAATGGCTGATTGGATCAAGGGACAGGGGAGGCAATAGACAGGCCAGACAGGTCCCTCCTTCTCCCTCCTTTTCCCACTAGATCCACTTCTTGCTCATCGGAAGAACATTTGTTATGGGACCTTTTTTTTTTTTCTTGATGTATAACACTTTCTCAACTTGTTATAATCTGTATTATATTGTGTGTGTATTATGCATCTGATTTAATCGTTAAAATACTTATTCCATTTGACTTAATAAAAAAAAGCTTGAATAATGGCATGGCATTTTTATTTTATATAGTGGATAGAGGCAACTCACAGTTGATTGCATCAAAGTCTTGACAAGCAGCATTCGCAAAAATAATACATAATACAATAATAAAACAAAATAAGAACCCACTCCAAAATTAAATAGCCTGTAATAATAAAGGCTAGCCTGTGTAGGACATAATAAGGACCCACAATCCGCCCAGGGTCCAGTGCGGGTCCCATGTGGGAAAAAACTGGGTTGCCCGTGTGGGGCCCATGTGAAACCCACCGTTAGCCCATGTGGGCTTGCCCACAAGGGGCCACCATGGAACCCGCGGACAAAAATAGCACTCACCAGCCCACATCCAACCCACATGGGCCCCTCATGGGTGTGTTGGCAGGGATTTAAAGTATGTATATAAGTGTGTGTATGCATGTGCATGTACGCATATTCATTTATATGTCAGTGTGTTTGGATATAGATTGATAGATAGATAATATGCAGATTCGTGCATACCATTGGGTATGTTTTAATAACTGCCTTAAATGCCTTAAAATCCTTTCTGTTTTATCACTTGTCTCTGCTCGATCTGCTCAGGAAATGGGATCCTACGCTACTTCCGGTTGCTAACTTTTTCAGCTTTGGATTTAAACATAAATCTAGTCTTTTTGAGTTTTATATTTTAATTTCGTTTTAAAATTATTTTATATAGTGCGTAATATAAAGAAAGAAAAAACAAAAATGCAGATAAACATGGTTTAATAATATTTTGCCACACTGCTCTGTGCATTTCTGTAAAAAGCATAAAAATTGTCTCACAAATTTAAAAAAACATTTTAAAAGATGTTTATTGGATTTCTTTAGTGATTTAAGGATAGAAATAAGTAGTTTTAGTACCATAATTACAGTATTTATAGATGCCAGTATATCCGTTCGCGCATGCGCAGGACGGATCGTGCTTCCTGGACGGATCGGGTAGTGACACCCATAGATATCCATAATAAAGGCTAGATGTCTCGTCCGCGCTGCTGGCCAATGGGGGTCAACGTCCGCATGTGGCGGCCATCTTGCCACAGGCAGCTCGCTCATTCGTAACATTGTGTTTTAAAGGCGCATGCACTTAAATAACCATAACTTCCTCAAATGTCTAACGATTCTCAAACTGTTTGGTTTGTTAAACCAAAGTCAGACATGTAGTTATGATACTGCACACTTAGGAATAATTATAACCATGGCATTTCATATGAAAAGAACATTGAATCGAACCTAC